ATCTAAAAGTTTTTCTTTCTATGTAGTAGCTAAAGGAACCAAGCCTGGTATTTACCATGACTGGATAGAAGTTGCACCCTTAGTTAAAAATTTTCCCACACCTTAGTATAAAGGATTTTATGATTTCGAGTAAGCCAGTACCTATGCTCGAAGACAAATAAGAACCAGTTACCTTATCAACCAGATAGCTAAAGATTACCTGGACACATTGGGCAAGGTGTAGTCAACCATCCTTGCTACTAGTGGAGTTCCAGTTAGCCAGATAATTGGAAGCAGTAGTACGGGAAGTAGTAGTAATAGTCTTCAGATAGATTCTCAAAATCCTCTCCAAATGTGCAGACATTGTGAAGGCCTTACCAGAAATTTCAAGAAAATTATGGATAAAGGCAAAAAGGTCAGTGAAGAGCTAGACCAGCTCCGAGACGAAGAAGAACAATTGAGAGCAACTATTCGAACCCTAACCAACCAGCTTAAAAAATTAGCTCCAGGAAAAGCAACTGCACCCTTTCCTAACCGAGAAATCAAACAACTCACCAGTGAGGAATTTGAACAATTGAGTGCTAGAATGTATTTCTTCAGGCATTCTATCATTTGATCTTTTTGTGAGAAAAGCCAATAAATAGAAGACCTTAAACCTTACATATACACTTTAGCCGAAGATAGTAGAAATAACGAGTTAGTCACTATGCAGCAGTTTCTTCAAGACCTCTCCATAGTAGGAGTTCAATGCCCTAGTATAGCTTATCAATGGATTTATCTCTACGAAGATGAAGAGCAGCCCTGCTTAGAAGAGGAAAGATGTATGGACAGGTTAGAACATTTTGGTCGATGCCAGTGTAATTTAGATTTCAGCATCTGCCTTTGCCAGATAAATCTAGCAACATTCGAACCATTGGAGATAGAGATTAGGGGCAAAACGCGTTATCTAACGGCCTCACAATTGTTAGATTACGGTTTTGTCTGTAGAATAATTTTTTCAGATCCAGATCAGACAGATAGTTTTGGAAATAAACTTGCTCATTCAGTACTTTGTGTAATGGAAGAGTATCATCCATATGTAGAAGCATTAATTGATAGCAAGCTACCAGAGTGGAAAGAAATAAGGTGCATCCCAACCAAGCATAAACTGTACCTCAGAGGAACCTCAACATTTCTGGGATACCCAGGACTTCTCAATCGGAGACCCTGGCCATGCAGAAAATTTTCACTCAGAGATCAACTCAATAAATGGAGGAAATTCGCTAATAATCCTTTATTAGCATATAATGGAAATTATGGACATCTAGTTTGCGAAGATAGAAATCAGAAGATATATTGTAACCTAGCTATCATAAGATATCCCTTTAGCAAAGAAACATTCGTTGATGAAAGTCAGTATCCTAACTATCAGCATATCATCTCTCATGAGTCACCACTAACGGGAGAAGATGACCAAGATAATCAATGGGAAGATGAACCAACCATGGGGGATGATTTTTATGACCAACTTTCAGTGGAAGAAGGACTTCTCAATCGGAGACCCTGGCCATGCAGAAAATTTTCACTCAGAGATCAACTCAATAAATGGAGGAAATTCGCTAATAATCCTTTATTAGCATATAATGGAAATTATGGACATCTAGTTTGCGAAGATAGAAATCATAAGATATATTGTAACCTAGCTATCATAGGATATCCCTTTAGCAAAGAAACATTCGTTGATGAAAGTCAGTATCCTAACTATCAGCATAGCATCTCTCATGAGTCACCACTAACGGGAGAAGATGACCAAGATAATCAATGGGAAGATGAACCAACCATGGGGGATGATTTTTATGACCAACTTTCAGTTGCAGACCTGGACGATCTCTTAGACAGAATGTATGGGCAAAAAAAAAAAAAAAAACCATGCACACCATAAATAGACTATTGTAATATTTGGAAGTATCATAACCAGCCCTTGTTTTCTAGATTCAGAAATTTTCCTTGACCCTTTGTAAATCCACCTTGAAGATTCACTCCACAGGTCTACATCAATAATTGGTACTTCAGTAGAAGAAGACAAAATTCGTAGAAGATAAGGCCTCTCTTCAATTATCAGAGAAATGCACGCCAAGAAACGATAAAAGATTCTGTAAATATTTATGTCTGTAATTATTTGCGTCTGTCAGTGATAAGGCTTTTCCTTCACTCACTACTTTAATAGAGCAGATGACCCCCATCCTGCTCCATTAAAGAAGAGCTGTGAAAATCCTTACACGTGTCTTGTAATAAATTACAGTGTCAAAATTTTATCAAAAAAGGAGGATTGAATGATATGTGATGGGGCCCAAAGCAGTACCCGATGTCATTATCCTAATCTTTTATTGATAAAATTCTATCTAAATCTAGAATAGTAATTTGAGTCAAAATCTATGCATTTATGGCATAGAAAAATTTGTAACATCTATGGCCTAGACTTAGGTAGTCTTTAAGACTTTTGAGTCCAAGCTTTTGACGTATAGATTTTTGGCTTGTATGTATCTATCAACCATGTGTATAAATTGGCATTCATGCCAATGAAAGAAGCAGAATGAAAAATTTCCCTTCACTCGTAAAAATTTCCAACCCCTCTCAAAAACCTCTAAGTGTACCAAGTCTTTCAGAATTTCAGAGTCTGTAATATAATCTTTGTACGTATATTCCTTATTAATATGAAATGTGAGTAGTCTCTCTTTTTCCTTAAATATTTCAAAAGGGTAACTCTTCTATTCTAAAAATTTATTTTCTTTTTGGAAAAACTAAGTTTATGGAATGCTTGTTTGCTCATTAATATTACATGTTTTGCATCTTCGTAGTATCTGTTGTTTTCTATTTTATTACTGAGCGACCTTAGCTGAAGAGCCCGTGTGAGCCGTGGTTAGGCATTGAAGGGCAAATTATAGGCAGAAAGAGAAAAGTAAAAAATAGAAAATAAAAATATAATATGTTGAACGAAACTTACCTTCAAGGTGGGAATACATGTAATGAAAACAAACATTGCCTAAAAATAGTTTTGCCAAAGAAAAAGAATTTAAGACTACAAGGAGAGCAACCCGAGTAGAAATATTAAGGAAAAATTGTCCATAAAAGAATTTTAAAAATCAAAATTTTACGCCTTTAGAAGAAGAATTTAGAATTAAAGTCAGAACCAGTACTGAGCTTATACAAGAATTAGAAGATCAAAAATTAAGATATCAATTTCTATTATCATTAGCCTCCGGTAGATATCTAGAAAATTATAGTTTGAAAATTACTCAAATAAATAGACAGATAACTATAAAATAAGAAGTCTTACAAGTAGCTATACAACAGCTTGAAGATTTATTAGCATAACTGTAGAATTAATTAGATAATTCTCAGCCCAATTTCAAAATAGTGGTAAACCACTAACCTAAAAAAAAAAAAATTAATTACTCCTAAATCTAGTAACTCCTCAATCTGTGTTCTAAATTCTTCTATATCTACTGGCGTATGATCTATGCTGATGTAATCCTATAATCTTTATTTTTTATATCTAAACTGGCTAAAACTTTATTTCTTTCCCAATATTTCATGGCCTGTTCTCCTAAAATCTATGTTGTTTCAGCTAATCTTATTATTTCATCTAAATCATTTTCTGTTCTTCTGTATACTGATTTTTTCTTTAATTTTCCTATTTTTGCGAAGATTAATTCTAGGTTAACAATTTGTTGAAAATCTTCTAGGTTCCAATAGTCGCTATTTTCTTCAAAATCAAACTCTTCTAAATCTTCTAATTCATAATTTTCTATGTCTAAATTTTCTAAAGAAGTATTTACTATCTCATCAGGTATATATTTTTGGGCTACCTTCTGCTCTGATATTCTTAGATATTTTCTTAATAGTTAATAAATAATGTATGAATGGCTAGGGTGGGCCTAGGTTTTTTGGGAAAAGGATATTTAGGCAAGTTTGGCAAGTTGTCAAAAAGTCAAAAAGTTAAAAAATTACTCAAAAAGTTAAAAGTTATCGCCATTCACCAAAAGTCAAAAATTACGGCTACACAACTCTCAATCATAATTTTTCCTTACACACTAATTTATACAATTTTTTAATATACATTTTTCCATAAAAAGTAAAAAGGTTAACCTAAACATCCATATTTTGTTTCTCAATTTTTTAGTCCAAAAAAATAAAAAGTACACTTAATTAAGACACCCTAAATAATCCCTTAGGCTCATTCTCGAAGGTGTTTGTTTCTCTGCCAACGGTTATGGGCTGTTCATGGAAAATTGGCAATGAAGGTGTTTGTTTCTCTGCCAACGGTTATGGGCTGTTCATGGAAAATTGGCAATAGAAAAATGTTAGAGAGTTAAATAAATTATCAAATATTCTACTAAATTTTTCATATGAATATGAGACTCACGTATATGGATTTGTATTTGTACCGAGGATAGGGATTGGATTGATGGGGCCATACTCATATTATGTATTAGGGTGTCAGTGATCCTGATGTTGCAGCAGATCTTGTTTATGACAAAATAGCGTGGGCCCAATATTCGATTGGTCCCAAATTTAAGAAGTATATTAACCTAACCTCACCTGAAGTTCTGGATCCCACAGATTTGTAATCAAACTCAAGCCAATAAGCCATCATTTTCATCGAACCCAAACAACCCAAAACCTCCAATAATTCTTCCAAAAAGAAAAGCATAATCTTTTGAGGGAAAAAAAATAAAATAAAATAACAAAATAAAGCCAATGATCATAGGGCCTACCATGAGTGGGTAAGATAACCATAGTTACTCTTAATTGCCTTGAGCACCATACGCACTTTCCGATTACAATTTTTGGAAATATATTATACAGAACTACTTCCGACGAAAGTGATACCTTTCCCAACACAATAGTCCTTACAATTTGAAACAACCTAATTTTATTGAATGATTTCATTGTTAAGTACCTACATACATTGATTGACTTCCAAAATCATAACCTCAGTTCATGGATTCATAGCAGGTTCCCAAAAAAAAAAAAAAAGCTGTTTAATTTAATAAACTTTTGCCATACTCATAACTCTACAATTCCCGATTACAGAAAATCCCATCAGATTCTAAATTTATGGTGTAGTTTTCATTCTTTTTCTTTTTCTTTTTTCATCAATCAATCTTCCTTTTTCTCTGCCTAATCGGATTGGATCTCAATCTGTGTTCCAATTCCGAATAGCACGAGCACAAGGAAACAAGAAATGAACTCGCTAATATTACAAATCTCACCAAGTATCTCTGTACAAATTTTGCAACTTAGGGTAACTGAACAAATTGCAGCACTGCATCATCAACATCAACAAGCACATTGCTCTTCTTAAATTTCTTCCGCCTTCAAATCCGAACCGGCAATCCAAAATTTTGAAAAGTTCTGATTTCCCCTCGTAGGCCAGCAGTTACAATTACCATGCCCCAGGCTGATCTGCTTTGGTTTATGCTGTTTGAGAAGTCAACACTGACACGAGGACTATGGTTCTTGGCGGTCAAAAGAAGTTTTTCCTCCGGCCATGTCGCTGAGATTCTATCAAAGAAGTAACTGTTGGTTGCGCTTGAAATTGTTCCATGAAGCGGACTAGTAGGGCACGCGCATGCCAACAGTGTACTCTCGTTACCATTAATCTCTTCGACTGGTGTAGGAGGGTGATTGGCTGTAGAGACCTCATCCACATCATCGCCGAGCCGACTCTGTTCTCCGGAAGATCTGTCTTGGAATCCCCACGAGTCACACATGCCAGGCCAAGGGATGGCCATTGACACGTCTTGACAGTGGAAATGTTCGTATGACCGCGTAACAGTAACACCTTTGCTTCTGCTAGGTTGAGAATCGCCTTCATGCTTCCAAACATAGACGTGAGAATCCTCACTGGCAGAGACTACATAATTTCCATTAGCCGTGAGGGAGGCTGAAATTTGGCTGTTCGTGTTGCGAAACCCTGTCATCAAAACAACAACAATTTACCGTATGAGAATAGTAAAAGGCTTAGCAAAAATTATATTGTTCTAGACTAGACAGAAGCTTGTCTTCCATTGCCCACAGAACAATACCCATAAGAAATTATTTAGGGCACAATGACACAGTTCAGTTGTTGTATCGATTAGCTAGGAAACAGACATTTCAGGAAACAAATTTGGAAACACACGAAAGTATTTGAAAACAAAACTAAAACATATTCAAATGCAAACCTAATAATTAAACATGTTTATGCCCTACTAATCCATCCACATGAAAAATACAATTTGGTACTAGATATTAATTCAAATAAAAATTATTAAATTAAAGTCACACACATTATCCAGATAATAAATAAAAAAGTCAACCAAATTATCAAACACAAGTGTTTATGCTTCTGAATATGCATATGGTTCCAATCAAACAAGATTGAGAAAAATATAAGAAATAATAATAACAATAATTGATAATAATCAAATGTCCAATGGTTCTAAGGGATAGAAAGGCCTTTATGGTAACAAGGTTGACAACAATGTTCAACATATATCAAAAGTATTCTAGATAATGAACATTGGCTAGAAGGTTGGGTTGAGGAGTGGGGTTTGCTGCTTACAAGAGAAAAGATAAGGCAGGCTAGATTCTGAAAGTAGTATGGAAGAGAAAAAATAAGGTCCATGTGATATCAATGAAAGAGAATAAATGGTTCAACCAAGTCATTTTCTCTCTGTTCATCTCTCCTCTCAATTCTATTTTCTCATATTCTCAATCAAATTTAAGAAGTTCTCTTTGCTCTCAAATCATTTTGGCAAAAAGAGGAAAGCATAAACATTTTGTTCAGGGATCCTGATGTGTCGAAACAACTCATTGTTTTGGTGCGTTTCATGGTGCTTTGATGAGTTTCCATCATTGTTATGTTCTGATGAGAAAGTCGGAATTTTCACTTTTCACTAACATTTTGTCAGTTTTTGAGGAAAGGAAACATTTTTGGCCATTCCAATGAAAAAACAAATATTCCTTGCTTCCTACTCTTCATTTCTTCACCTTCTCTCATATCTCCTCTTCCACATATCTAGAATTTAAATTTCACAAGGGAAACTGTGATTGTCAAAAGGAAATTCAATGCAAAATCCTGATTACATGTAATAATAATATTTCATAGCTTTGAAAAGAGATAAAAAACAAATAGTAAGGATAATTTTAGGATAACCTAGAACGGAGTGTTATGGAAGTCACCTTATGTAACTGACAGAACATCAGAAGCAACTCTTGGTCACAGCATCACCAGGAGCCAGTATGCTTGCTAAGCAACTCCACTCAACTCAACAAAGTCTTTTCCTATCTATTTGGTATCAGGTACATGAATTGCGTCACCCTTGTCACCTAGCCTTACCTTCAATATTGTCACCCTTCCTAATTGGGGCCCTTATTGGTCTTCGTTGTGCATGCCCAACTATCTTAAATGATTTTCCCATATTCTATCTTCAATGAGTGCTACATCTACCAAATCACGAAGTCGTTCATTCCTAACCCTACCTCTCCTAATTTTGCCACACAACACTTCAATCTCCTCATCTCGGTAACATTTATTTTGGTAAAAAAAAAAAAAATATTTAAGTTCTCACTGAAACTTCTCATTGGACCACAGCGACTTGCTAAAATATCACTCCAACATTAGATTGGCAATCTAATTCTAAAATGCCAAGTAGATAAAATGGAATTTCAAAGGCCCCATTTCAAGGCATGATTTGTAGAAATTGTAATTTCTTCTAAAGATAAGAAATATCTATTTTGTGCACTCAATGGCAGTCTGTAAGACTGTAACCAACTTTATGCATACAAGAATTTACGTAGTGTATTATTCTCACCTTTGAACTTGTGAACAAGATCAACACCCTCAATGACACGTATTCGTGAATCTGCAGATGTGATAAGAACTTCGGATGAACTTCCTGGTGCAAACTGAAAGTTGAAAACTAGTCAGGAACTAAAAACACGAGGGGCACACATTTATGGCTCAAAAGTAAAAGCTGCAAAGACCATGGAAGGGAAAAAAAAACACTCTTATGCGAAGAAAAAAAAGAGAAAGGGAATTCTGTTTCTTCTTTAATCACCATTTTTATAAAAGTGCAGTGGAGGGGCCAATAAATTACCTGGAAACCAGTGATTTTCTTGTGGTGAGATTTCTTTTTCTTATTTTGCAGATTGATTTGACCTTTTTGTTGCAACTTATTTTCTGAAAAAGAGAACAAAAGAGTTTAAATAATAGTGTGTGTGTGTGTGTGTGTGAGAGAGAGAGAGAGAGAGATCTATCATCCATACCAGATGTGTTGTATAAATGGCAGCTCCCTTTGTATGAACCAACCAATGCACCCTTCAGAAATCAACAAACATTCATTAAGCCATATATAAAACATCGACAGAACATAAAATGACATTTCTCCTGCTTTCTAGTTGCGGCAAAAGAAAATCATAGAGGTACTGTCTAGACATGGCCAACCTGACCATCTGGTGTATAGCAAGCAGCAGTGACCATCTCATGCAGATCATTCCAATCAACAACTTGACGATCAGGAATGCTCCATATTCGAACCTTCGCATCTAAGGATCCACTGATGAAGAATCTATCATCAACAGGATTAAACTGGATGCAAGTTACTGCATACAAAGGAAAATCCAAACAACAATTACATAATTAGCTAATAGATCACCAGAGCAATAATAAGAAACTTATTTCTTATGACAGCTAATATGGACACTAATTTTTGTACCAAAATAAAGCAAAACAAAATGAGAACAACTTCTTAATTACACATTAAAGAAGCATATAAATTTTCCTGTACAATTTAGCCAACAGAAAATATTGATTTCTATACGAATTGCTTAAAAAGGGGTGTCCCCATCATCAGAAAAAAAGGGTTGTAAACTTATCAGGCTTTCTGAGTAGTGAGTACTATAATTAAAGGCCAAACAAAAAGTTGGGGCAACAAAGTATGACAAATCAATTACTTACCAAAATCACTGTGTGAAAAAACCTTCAAACAAGACTTGCTAGACAAGTGCCACAGCCGCACAGTTTTGTCCATGGAAGAAGAGAGCAAATGCTGGAAAAAAAAAAAAAAACTTTGATAGTAAGATATATTGATTACATATTGACAAGCCAGAAGCTTGATCCATGATCCCACGGATGGCTCAATTGCTGGACTTAGATGCACATATGACATATCCATCATATAGACAATGAAAGACAAATATCAAGAGATCTCTGAGATGCCCTCTACTGAGGTTTTATAGCACCTTTGACAATAAAAATGTTTACTCTTAAAATTTCATTAATAAGTAGTTATAACCTATGTTGCATGGACTCGAGTATGAGTGTCGGGTGCGGGTGTGTATCCAAGAGTCAGACCTTCATAAATTTAAATCTTAAGAACTTGGGGTATGTATCCAAAATTGCATATGGGTACGGGGACACGTCATATGCACATATATATTGCATATTATATAATATTTTCGGATGAGATGTTTTAAATTATGTAGAAATATATTAAAATTAAATATGATTGAGAAAAAATATGAAATTTTTATATCTAATTCATCTATTAGTCTAAAAATATTACTTTACTAACAAACATGAGTTTCTTCTTCTTCATGTATTGTCACAAATTAATGGATCTGAGTGTCTAAATTGGGTACGAGTGTCAGACACATATCTCACACCCTTACCCTTGTCATATCCAGTGGACACGGGTACTCTGAGAGAAATAGAAGAGTCCATGTAACATAGGTTATAACAAATGTACCACCATAGATGTCCAAGGGAGAACATTACCACTGAGAAATCTTAGGGGAAATAAGTGACATTTTCAGAAAATATAGTCAAGGTTCTATCTATTGCCCAATAAGAAAACGTATAAGGATAACAGTAACTGAAACCAGAGCCTAAAATAGGGCCGTGAAGATTATAGTGAGCCACAGAAGTTGGAGTGTCCAACACATCCGTCAACTCAACAAACTTAAACAGCATGCAATTTTGTGAAGCCTCACATTTGTAACCAAAAAAAAAATTCAAATTGTTAGTCAATATGAACCATTCAATTCAACCAACATCTAACATACCATAAGGAAACAATTCATCAGACAGTTGCCAATGCAACAAAGCTACAAAAACAGTCTCAGAATTATGATAACCTGCCAGGTAATTCTTCTTCCTAATTGCCCTACTTCTGCCTTTTGCAGACACTCATATACAACAACTGGTTTTCTCTACATAAAATATCAATGCAGCTGAACTTTCCATAATCTTATTGTCACACAACTTAACCAGATGCAGAGAAGTCCTGTACAGTACAGCACCACCTTAAGTAAATGCAAAACAAAATGGGATCTTATTGCCAATATCATGTTATAAAGGGGCAACTCATTTCTTGGAGTAAACCAAACCAAGCCTTAAGGCCCATCAAATGGAATCGGTTACATGAATCCTTCTTCTCTACTTGACTCTGAAAATGAACCCATTTCTTGGAGTACGCCACCAAAACCATTCATAAGGCAACTTCATTTTAGTAATTGATTTTCAAACAGAAGACATGGCATATTACTTTTATCAACTCAGTCTACAGGGGCTCTCCCCAACATGCCTCATTCAACATCATCCTGGCAGACTCAAAATTGCAGTCTAAACTAGCATTACTGCATGATAAGTCTCCATGTGTGTCCACAAGGCACAATCACATATACCGTGCCTGCTAGTAATTAGAACTTCTCAGCATACAAGGAAACATACAGGCCTTGTCTGGTTTGTTTTTCAAAAAAATTTTTGGAAAAAATTTCTACAAACAAATTTTCAAGAGTAATCAAACCAAACAAATTTTTTTAAAAAAAATCTCAAAATTTTATTTGGTTACCTACTTTCCAAAATTACTATCTCATACATATCATATCAATCACTTTTTTTAAAAACTCTTTTCCCTAAAACAATTTTCCAAAACCATTTCTGAAAAAAGACAAACCAAATAAGTTTTCGTACTTTTTATCTCAAAAACTACTCTACAAACACAAACCAAACACACCCACAAACTTTCATGATTCCGTTCCCCAACATGGCTTAAGAAAAAAAATATGACATCCCATCTCAAGAAGTTGAACATGATATGCCCACCACATCAATAAATAGATCTAATCAATTCCTTTAACAAGTTTTCAGGTTAATATGTTTAAATAGAGAAGTTTCAATGATACTTGTGCCAAAACTCTTCTACATTACAGGGTCCAACCTCATCATTTCTTTCACATCTATTAATGTTTTGTGTTATGGCTAACCGAATACATCAGAAATCTGAATACATGTTCCAATCATAATTCCTCATAGCTAGACCAAACGAGCAGAACCCATCGAGCGAAGTCAGACAAGTGGATCTGGTGGAGCGATTTGACCAAGTGAAGCCAATCAAGCAGAGCAGGTGGAGTGGAGCCAACAGAACGGGTTTGGTCAGCAGAGCTAATCGAGCAGATGCAATTAAGTGGGGCTGTCTGAGAAAAGGCAACCATGCAGATCCAGTGGAGCAGCGTCATGGTTCATTGTGTGCCTTGTGATGTGAAGGAGTGGTTAGGGATGACATGGCTCACCAAATAGTATATCCAATTATATGTACAATAAATTAAACCTAATAGCCGACTCTCCCTAGCAAACAAACAATAGCTTAACCAAGGTCAAGATACCAGTATGCATAACCTAGAAGAAGACCAATGCTAAAGCAACCCACAGATTTCATTCCCTTTCTGATTCATTCTTCCTTCATTAATAAGGGATTAATGGTGGTTCAAACAACTCACTGTTCAAAGAAAATCCCATCTGCATTGTCAGCACCTCTGTTATCAGAATCTTACGATTCGTGATTCGATTCACGATTCAATTCGCAATTTTTACAAAATCGATACGAATCTATGGGTGAATCTATTTTGGAAGTGAATCTCTAGTGAATCACACAATTCACAATCGATTCATGATTCGATTCACTTTTTTCGATTCATGCAATTTTTGGAATTATTGTGTACGACATATTTTCGACTCTTTTTTTCTTCATCTTTTTAGTAAAAATGGCATAATACAACTTTTAATAGCGTTTAATACAAAAATAACTAACATATATACATGATTTATTGTTATTTTAGTAATCATGGAGTTTTTAATAGGATCCAATTAGATTCAATCAGACCCAACATATTTTTAACCTTTCTTCTCATTTTTTTTTCCTTTTAAAAAATCATAATATATCTTCTAAAGATGTTTAAGATTAAAGTTACACTATAAATTATCTATTACTATTTTATTAAATTGAATATTACATGTGTGAGGTCAGTTATACTTTTTAAAATGTTTTAGACTTTAAAATAAAAGAATCTAAATAATTCCTTCTTATTATTTGTTCACTGTTACTTAGAAAAGTATATATGCTTATTGTCCAAATATCAACATTGTTGTTAGTTATTGTTACTTTGGAAATTGATAGTTTGTCTATTTGGTTACTATCTTTATTAAGAATGGCTGATAAGAAATATCTAAAAAGGAAAAAAGGCAATATTACATCTTTATTAAAAATAGTTGATAAGAAATATCTAAAAAAGAAAAAAGATAATATGGTGATCTTACATAGGAACCTTTGTTAATTTCTTACCTATTAAACTACGTGATTATTATTCAAAATAACATTTTTATTAATTTAAGTCTAAATATTTTATATTCATAAGATATATTTAACATCTAAATGTGTAGATATATGTTTTTAAGTAATTTAGAAAAAGTGATCGAATCTTTACGATTCACAATTCGATTCAATTCGATTCACGATTTGGTACAAGACCATTTTGATTCACGATACGAATCCCGATTTGACAACTATGATCAGCACAATCATCGCCAGCCAAAATATATATACGCATCTTCCTAAATAATGTGAATAAGCACCAAATAGAAATAGGTTTCAATGCTGGATGCTTATTCAAAAGCATGCCTTGTCCTAGGTAATTCGCCACCCAAACAACATGCTAACCAAGTTATATACGAGTGACTCCAACAATGTAAACAATATTTATATTTCACAATAAAGGGCAGGAGAACGTAACCACACACCAAAAAAAAAAAAGTTTTTGTTTGAGCCATGAGAGAATATGGCATCGTCATAAGCTACATGCCGCAAGAAGGGGGGGGGGGGGGGGGGGATTACTACCAAAGTAGCAGTGTAAATGTGTAACTAACCTGAGACTTGGACCATGATAGGTCAAGCACATCGTTAAGATGTCCTTGGAATGAACAAATTGGTTTTTCTGAAAGTGCAAACACTGTCTCTGGCACCAAAATTTGGTCCAAACTCACTGATTTCCGGCTTGTGGATGATCTTCCTCTTCTCTTCTTCTCTGGATGGTTTTCCAAATTTGGTGACACAGAAGTTGGTTCTGGTGACCCATTGGCAAAAAATAAAAGATTTGAATTCCCATCTACCGGCTTATCAATTAAGAGATCACCCTTCCTCTCTGTTTCCACAACTTGCCACACATGAATGACACAGTCCTCACCTGCACTAGCAAGATACTTTCCATCCAAACTAAACTTAATAGTCCAAATTGAACCACTGTGAGCCCGTATCTCCTGGCTCTTGTAGAGGGCTGTGATCTCTTTGCATGATTTTCCATACTGTCGAACACGAACTCTCTCAGGGCCATGAAATGAAACATCTTGGCTATCATCAGTAGCTGAACTCGACCTCCGCCCACCCTTCTCTGATGAGGTATCCCTTTCGTCACTGCTCCGTCTATCCTTGTAACCTGTCATGGTACTAGCAACGTTCCTAATGCTCTTCAGCCAACTCCCTTTCTTCTTGAATTTTGATCCACTTCCACCACTTCCATTGGCATTAGAATCCACATCATCCCTATTACCATCCTCCACATTCTGCCTCCTCATCAACTCTTGAACAATAGGAGAATGCCCTACACACATCTCAAACTCCTCCATGGTCAACTGTCTTCCAGTTCCCACTTCCTTGAGCTTGTTCCAAGTACCATCTTCTCTAACCTCATTCACCACAAACTCTTTTCCAGTATCAAGATTCTTAATTGTACATACAGGGCCAATCCCATTACAACCGGAATCACCATCTAATTCCCCACCACCACTGGCATTCCCCGAAACAGACATGGAATTACAATTACCACCCGGGTTCAAACTCGTGGAATCGTTCATATTATCTTCTACCCGCCTACAATTTTTGCTAGTGGGCGGCTTATTCAGTGACGCAGCAGCATTGATCACTGGCGATCCATTGCCACTTGGAGATTTAACAACACTACGATTATTATTTACAAATGGGCCGCCAATTTCATTAACCACCGGCGGCGAAATTGAATTATTATTAATTAAAAGAATTTGAGGGGAATGAAGGGGCGAATTAGAATTACACTGAGACTTGATGCGATGATGATGATCCGTGGCACCATCTGATTTCGATCGAACGATACCAGGATTGGAATCACTGCAAGAAATGTCACCCCTTTGTTGACTCCGGTTCAATTGATCGGCCGACACCGATCTGCCAAAATCTCCTCGGCTAGTCCCGCCCTCGTCCGATGCTCTTTGGCGTGAGAGAATGGGGTCCCGACTGAGACCCATCTGGCGGAGGAGCCGCATACGGCGATCCTCCACCGAGGAGGGTTCGGAGATCCAAACATCGTAGTTATTGGATACGCCCATAGGGAATCTAGGGATTGGCAATGGAGGTCGGTCCGAAGCATAATTGGGGGAATCCGAAATCGATTTCTGATCTTTGTCGTCGTCGTCGTAATCCTCAGCCGAAGACGAAGAGCAAGAAGAGTTGGACGACGATAATATACGATCAAGAGACTCGTAGAAACACTCGTCCTCGTCTTCTTCGTCGCCGGCTTTGCTCATCGTTTGGGCATTCCCATCTGAACAATGAAAATGCCCGCCCCCCCCCCGCTTCGATTCAGGTCCGATCGAATCCCTCCGACTTTCTCTCTCCTCAGTTCGATCCGTTTGGGGCTAACAGAGGTTTTAGAGAGAGAGAGTGATCGGACAATAACGAAGATCGAAGCTATGAAAGTGTGTGGAGTGGTTTTTTTACTTGGGAAACTCAGATCCGATGATGGGACGAGAGAGAAGCTTGGAGGAACAATGGATGCGAAGCCCTATGCAGAGGTCGTGTGTGCGAAGAGAGAGAGAGAGAGAGAGAGAGGGAGAGGGAGGAGGAGAGAACGGCGTCGTGTGGTGAGTTTTGGGGTTTGGAGTTCGGTGATGTTTGGAATGAAGGTCAAAAGAAAGAAATTTGATTGGAGTTTTGAGGATGACTTTGAATTTAATAAATAATAAATAAATATATTAAATGTCATGAATTAAAAATAAAAATAAAAATAAAACCGCCATTTGGTGGTTCGTGTGGCGCGGAAGGCCGATTTTATAATTTTATATTTATTTTCAAAAAATTATAAATAATTTATTAAATTCTTAAAACAAAATAAAATGTCAATTAAAAAATCAATTTATATTTCTTCATCCTCCTGCATCCTTCAATTACCACACCCATTATGGTCATTGGCCATAGTGGCCGGCGACTTCTCGCCAGTTGCCAACCATCATCAAATGGCAATAATCTTCTTCTGTCAGTGACAATTATTTCTTAGGAAAATGTTCGACGGCCCGAAATGTCTGGCTCGAATGTCCTGAATGTTCAAAACGACGTCGTTTTGGGTATTCCGTTTTTTTTCTTTTTTTCTTTTTTTCTTGCCCAAAACGACGTCGTTTTGGACATTCTTTTTTTTTTTTTTTTCTTTTTTTCCGCCATTTTTGACCTCTGCAATGCAGAGGAAGAGGGAGAGAAAGAGAGGGAGAGGGAGAGGGAGAGAAAGAGAGAGAGGGGTCGCGTCGCCTGCCCCTCCCGCCGCCGATCGCGTCGGCCACCGCCGATCGCATCTGCCTCGCCTCAGCCCCTCCTCCTCCATTTTTTAGGCCCCCTCCCCTCCCCTCCCCCTCCTTCCCTTCTTCTTCTTCCTCCTCCTCCTCAAATTCGAGCCAAATTTGACTCGAAACCCTTTCGGGCTCTGTAGCAGAGCTCTATTTCTTATACGAACAACTTTTTAATATTGGTAATCAATTTTTATTAATATTAAGGGTTAGTTTGAGACAATTTAAATAAGTGTATTTTTTAACTTTTTATGAAATATGAGTTGGGTATAGATTGAGTTTAAAGTGATGTGTTAGAGAGGTGATTGATTTAAATAAAATGATATGACTTAAAAGATAATGGCTCTGTTTGGTTGTGCTCTGAAATCAGTTTTCTACATACAACTCATACTCTCAAATCACATTTACAAAACTCTACCAAACACTACCAATGACTTTTTAACTTTTTTAGATCATACCAAAGAAGACTTAAAAATCACCTCAAATCATCTCCAATCACTAATCAGATATCTACATAATTAACAATTAACTCTGATCACCATATTTACTCATCGACAATCACCTTTGAATATCATCTTTCACCAACATCCTCAATCATTTTCTCTTAGTAATTTTCAAAACAAGTTTTAAAAAAATGTCTTGCAAATTGTAACTTAAATTACCCTTTATCAGTCAAGTATAATACATATACATTCACACTTCTCTCAAAAAAAATTGTCATCTAAACTTAACTTAAATTTCAATTTATATACATTATTTTTAAATTACTTTTCATAAAAAAAAAATTTGGGGTACATAATTTTATTTATGAATAATATTAGTAATTTGAGAAATTTTACTACTTTTTGGGAGTACACAAAATTTTATTTATGAATAATATTAGTAATTTGAGAAATTTTACTACTTTTTGAGAGTACATAATTCATTTTTGAATATTAATAGTAGTTTAAAGAATAATAATGTTATATGTACTAATCAGTATATTAATTAATATACTAATAGATGATGTGTCAAAATTTTTGAGATTTTGAATATTTGTAATTTATATGATGAGTAGGATTAATAATAATGTCATAAGGCATATTAGTATACTAATTAATATATTAATTGATACATGTAACACTACCATTGAGAAAATGTAGTAAAACTTTAGATTCTTTTTGAATTTAATGCCGTAGAGAACTATGAATCCTTGTTTTTGTTTTGTAGTTTAGCACCCTAGGTGCTTATTCCCAATCACCTAAAAGCATGCTTACATGATGGGATTTTTTCTTTTTCTTTTTCTTTTTCTTTCATTCTTAGAATTTTCTTCTTTTCTTTTTTCGCTACAACGGAAAGAAAGAATTTTCTCCTTTTCACCAAATGGTTGAAGAATCCAAAATTTTCCATAACTCTACAACTAACCAATTGATGACATTTTTGGATTGAGGACATTTTTTTTTTGTTAGTCTAACTAGTACACATTAACAGAGTCTTATTTATTCATTATAGCTTCATATTATTTATTCCATCAACCATACCAATTTGCTAAAGAGTCACAATCTAGCTTTTAACATATTTACAAAAAATAGATTTGAATTGAAATGATAAATAAAAGGTTAAAATAGATAATAACAAAAATAAAATAAAATTTTGTGTGCGTCTCACAATTTAAAGACATGAATAAAAATTAATCAAAAAAAAAAAGAATTGTGAAATAGATAACATAAAAAATTATATTTAAGTTATTGGGATATTGTTGGAATAACTAGAAATCATGATAAATTTGTTTCTTATTTATACAATGGATGTTTGGTTAGCATTAGGACTGGAGTATACATTTTCAGTTACCATAGGGAGGTGGTTGTTTTTAATGTTTAGATTCTGGACCACCTCTTAATTTAGTGCAACATGACATTTCTACAACCACCTCACCCTTGTGGATTCCTCACATACAATTATTTAATTGGGTGTATTGTTGATTTCCTGGCATAAAGGAAATTTAAGTAAATGATGAAAATTGATTTTATCCTTCTTGCCTAAGGATTATTTGGTCTAACATTCTTTTGTTATATTCAGGTTTGAATTGGACTTCCACTCTATAATAAGAGCATATGTATCATCTAAAGTATATCTCAATGTAACATCGAACCAAATATAATCATACCAAATCCGATCCTAAATAAACGTCTCAATTTCAAATTTATACACTTAACTCGATATATATGAACTATAACTTCATATATATGAACTATGAACTTTTTTTTTAACAGGTATGAACTATTAACTCAATATATATTTTTTGCTAGTCTTAGAGGGTTGTTAAACAAAATTAACCCTTTGAATAATTACTTTGCATATTTTAACAAATTATTAATTTAAGCTCTAAATATATATTGCTTTTTTAATATAATTTATTATGTAACTAATAAATTTATCATCTTAAACCCAATTCGAAAAATAAATAGACTTAATATCTTATGCTCTGTTTGGCATATAACAGTTTTATTTTAAAAGTTAAAAAGTTACTAAAAATGTCGAAAAACTTATAACTTATACCAAAAAGGCAAAGATTCTTTTTTCTCTCTATTATTTGTACATCTTTTCGTAAAAAATTAAAAAATCATTCCAAATATAATAACTTTTTTATCTCATATTTTAACTAAAAAATTAAAAAATTACTAAAATAGCATATGATCAAACGAAGCCTTAGCCTAATTTGGCCTTATCCAAAATATTAAAATATTAGACGTGAGTGTGAGCGATTGGGCCGGTACCAACTCATGCTACCATCTTTTTTTTTTTTTGTTTGTTTGATTGAAACTCATACTACCATCTGCACTACAAAGTAAGAATCTTAAAATGCATTAAGACATAATTGTCCAAATAGAAGTACATTAAGAGATAAGAACAATAATTAGAAACTAAAGAGCTCTTGTCACCCTTCATCATAATGTGTCTAAAAAACAAGACACTTTTCACTATTACAATTATAAAACTTTGTGTTGTCCCCTTCATCGCCATGATTTTAGTTCAACCAAAAAAAAAAAAAAAAACTTTCTCACACTTACAACTGTAGAACTTTGTCTTGTCCCTTTGGAGTAGGGTTTGGACCAATGGTTATGGCATGCTAGGCTCAAATAAATATCATTATTAGGAGTGACATTTTTTTTCTTCCCCGTCTTGTACCACAAGATTTTCTTATTATTGGATGACGAAATACAGTGGGAATAAAAATTTTACTTTCCTAGTCCCGTTCTACTGTACTTGTACTCAGTATAAAATTATATTTATTAAATATATTTATATATATCAGAGAGTAAAACACTAATATATTAAAATTAATAGTTATTTTTGGCTTCTCTATTTATTATCTTATATCTTTCTACTTTCATAATTTATAAATTATTATTCATAACATATAATATCATTTTAAATTTTTATTAATATTGTCACTCATAAAATTCTACGATTTATCTTATCCTCCTGGTATCATACAGGGTAAAAAAAGTGAGCACCACCCAGAGTGGCAGTAAGCACAACTTGTTTGGTAAAAGTTAAAATTTGATTTTTTAGATTAAGATTTAAAAAAGACAAAATAAATTAAAAATAATTAATAGGGCAGAATGTCACACAAAATTCATAATTATTTTATTTTTTCTCTTACAAATATTATGTTTAACTATAAAAAAATTTCCTCATCTTCTCAAATATAAAATTTTTAACTTATTAAAATAATCAAAAATTAAAATAACCTATTAAAATAGTCAACTTCCCAAATAAAGTCCAATTAAATCTGGGTACACCCTTTCCCAACCGCCACATAGTGTCCAGCCCACAAACCGAAAGATTGAAGGCGACACAACCATGCCTTCTAACAGATTATAAATGAGTTGTGAGTACGAGCACTTCGTTTCTCTCTCTCAACTACATCTAGGTAGACATTGTTTGTTTTGTAGCATAAATAGTCGGTTGTTGCGTCTCTCCACTCCTCTCCACTCCTCTCATTGATTTATGTGGTCCAGATCCTGGT